CGCTACTGGGAAGGCTGAGGCGGAAGGATTGCCAGAGCCCAGCAGGTCGAGGCTGTGGTGGCCGGGAGCGGCCACTGCACTCCAGTCTGGGCAACAGAGTGAGACTCTGATTCAAACAAATAAATAAATAAATAAATAAATAAATAAATAAATAAATAAATAAGCATACCTGATCTCAAACCAGGTGACATGGGAACCAAAGTGAGGCCCAAACTTTACCTATAATGACCATTTGTATACTTAACTCTGAATTGTACCCCATATCTTTAAAATAAATTTTTTTTTTGAGTTGGAGTCTCACTCTGTCACCCAGACTGGAGGGCCGTGGCCGCTTCCGGCCACCGCACCCTCGACCTGCCGGGCTCCGGCGATCCCTCCGCCTCAGCCTTCCAAGTAGCCGGAATTACAGGCACGCGCTACCACGCCCGGCTGATTTTTTGATTTATTGTAGAGATGAGGTCTCGCTGCCCAGGCAGGTCTCGAACCCGCAGGCTCAGGCAATCCTCACTCACCTCAGCCTCCCAAAGGCATGGGATTACAGGCTGAGCCACCGAGCCCGGCTGTAAATTTTTTTTTTTAATGGGCAAAAACTTGACAGACCTTTCCCAAAAGAAGACAGGCAAAGTGGTCAATGAGCACATAAAAAATGTTTAACATCAGTTGCCAGGGAAATGCAAATCCAATCAAAGTGAGGAACAGTAGAACTAAAGAGTCAGAAAACAGATTAGAAGTTCCCAGGGGATGAGGGGTAGGGAAGGGGGTGACACACAAAGGGGCAGGAAAGTATTTGGGGACGACGGTTAGACCTCCATCGCAGTAAGGTTGCACGGCTAGCCATTCATTTGCCAAAGAGTTTCCAGACCTGACAAAGCTCATTCCATAAAAGTAAAGACAGATACTGAAATACTGACAAATTAGACATCTACACTGAAAACTTGTGCTCTGTGCTCCATCACCAGGAAGGACGCTGGGGAGGCTGACATTCCTATTGAGGACACAACCTCTGTGGCTTCCAGGGCTTTCTGGCAAGGCATCAAAGTCCTACAGAAACCAGGACCCATGGAAGAGTGTGAGGAGATGAGGAAGTCATCTCCTGGTGTCTTGCAGAGTGCAAAGTGCTTTCAGGATATAAAGCACTTTGCTTTATTCTCTGGGCTGAATTACATAGATGTTTGTCACTAACTCATGTTCTTGAACTATGAAGCATGAGTATGTGGGATAAGGAATAATTAACAAATGTAAAGTGGACTTTTCCTCTGCAAAAGCCTATGTGAAGAAGTTACAGAAAGCAACAGACTGAAAAAAAAAAATCTGCAAACATGTATCTGACCCACATATCTAGAAAAGATAAAGAAATCTGAAAACTCAACAGTAAAGCAAAAAACAAACCATCAGAAAATGGGCAAAGGAAATGAACATACATTTTACTGAAGAATCTATTCAGGTGTCAAATGAACACATGAGAAGAAGTTCAACATCATTAGCCAAACCATTCTTTGTCTTGAATGTGGTGGTAATTCACAAGCCTACACATAGTACAGAACTAAATACATGTGCGCACACACACACACACACACACACGAGAACAAGCAAAACTGGGGAACTCTGAAGATCCAGGGGCTGCATAAACGTCAATATCCTGGCTGTGATTTTGCTCTGCCTCTTTGAAAGGATGTCACCCCAAAGGGAAACTGGGTGAAAGGTGCAAGGGGTCCCTCTGCACTTGGGTGGAGGGTCACCACATAGGAGGAACCAGCACGAACAAAGGTGGCGGCAGAGCAAGAGTGCGGCCTCCCCAGGGGGCTCCAGACACAAAGATGGAGACCCCTGGGCGTGTCTCTTCATACACTCCTGCCATGGGACTCGAGCCGGAGAGCAGCCACAGCACTAAGCATGGGGGCATGTCTCCACTCCCTCCCTGCCCCTGAAGGGAGTGGGCAGCCCGCGCTGGATGGCGCCCTGGAGCCCGCCGCC